CTCATTAACAACCTGCAATATGCAGATGACGAACCCTTGCTTGCTGAAATTGAAGAGGACTTGAAGTACTTATTGTTGAAGATTAAAGACTGTAGCCTTCAGTATGGATTACAACTCGGTATAAAGAAAGCAAAGATCCTCACAACTGGACCAGTGAACAGCATCGTGATAATGATAGAAAAGATGGAAATTGCCAAGGATTTCATTTAACTTGGATCCACAGTCATTGTTTATGGAAGCAGCAGTCAAGAAATCAAACAATGTTTTGTAGTGGACAAATTTGCTGCCCAAGTTTTCTTTGAAGTGTCCAAGAGTAAAGATGTCATTTTGTGGACTAAGATTCCCCCTGACCCAAGCCATGGCATTTTCAGATGCATAGGTAAGTTGGACAATGAGTAAAGAAGATCAGAGAAGAATTTATGCCTTTGAATTATGGTATTGGCAAAGAATATCAAAAGTACCATGGACTGCCTGAAGTTCACACAAATCTGTGTTGGAAGAAATACAGTCAGAATGCTCCTTAGAAGCAAGGATGTCAAGACTTTGTCTTACATACTTTGGCAATGTTGTCAGAAGGGAACAGTCCCTGGAAAAGGACATCATGCTTGGTAAAGTTGAGGGCCAGCAAAAAAGAGGAATACACCCAGTGAAAGGGATTCAAACAGTGGTTGCAACAATGGACTCAAACATGATAACAGTTGTGAGGATGGCAAAGGACTAGGTAGTGTTTTGCTCTGTCATGCATACGGTCACTTTTAGTTGGCTCACACTCAGTGATACCTAGGAACAGCAGGGATAACCAGTATTACTAATTAGTTGTTCATTCCTCTAGTTATATTGTATTCACATACGGTATGTTGTTGTTAATTGCCATCAAGTCATTTCTGACTCATAGCGACCCTGTAAAGGATTTCTGAGGTGGATTTGAACCACTGACCTTACAATTCTAACAACCTTGTGGTCCAGTGCTTATCCTACAGTGCCACACCAGGACTTCACATATAATATACATGTGTGTATATATACACTTACTATTTTTTTTTACCAGAATGGGATTATTCTGTATATTATTTCTCAACTTGCTATTGTTATTGAATAGAGTATCATGAATCCATGTAAGTGGCATTCATCCAAGCCCCCCCCAATTCTAGGTCATTTTTTGGTACTGATAGTACTTGTAGTAAAGATGTACAGCAGCATATTTACTTCATCTTTCTCTTCTAATGGGCATTTAGATTGTGTGCAGTTATTTGCTCTTACATACAGCTGGACAGTGAATAAGGAAGATCGTAGAAGAATTGATGCCTTTGAGTTGTGGTGTTGGAGGAGAATACTGAAAGTGCCATGGACTGCCAAAAGAACCAATAGATCTGTTTTGGAAGAAGTGCAGCCAGAGTGCTCCTTGGAGGCCAGGATGGCTAAACTGGCCTAATCTCTCATACTTTGGACATATTGTTCGGAGGAAACAGTCGCTGGAGAAGGATGTCATGCTGGGTAAGGTGGAAGGTCAGAGAAAAAGAGGAAGACTCCTAACGAGATGGATCGGCCAGATGGCATCATTGATGGACGCAAGTGTGGCAGCGGTAGTGAGGTTGGCCCAGGATCGGGCATTGTTTCGTTCTGCTGTGCATGGGGTCGCTATGAGTCGGTTCCGACTCCATGGCACCTGACAACAACAACAAGAACATATAATGTGGACTATACATACTTATTCCTAGGCTTTTGAGGACTTAGTACTTTTGAGAGGGATTTTTAGAAATTTTGTTGAGTCAGGGATGTGGTGGTAGTGTTTGGGGTTTTACATCTGTAATACTAAATGAGATTAGTCTGTGGCAGTGAAGGTCAACCCAAACCACACATTGTACCTCTACCTGGAGGTTAGGAAAACAGCTGCCTGCCTACAGGTCCACTGTGGAAGCATGTCCTGTTGGTGGAGCCAGGTGGCTCAGCCAGAGGAGAGATCAAGCATTCTGGCTGTATTTTCTTCCAAGGTTTTGGCATCAGGGTTATAGGAGCTCTGTGCTCTGGATTGAAGAGTTTGGCAACTCCGTGCTCTTTGTGTGTCTTTAGTGTTTAATTTCATTTTCCTTACGAGAGCATATTGAACTTGGGGTCAGAAAAGTTGCATTCCAAACCCTCTTTAATAGGATATTAGCTTTTTATATGAGTCCATTTCAGAATCCTGCCTTGCTGTCTGTATGGTTGGAAGCATTGCATTTGGTGGTATGCGGTGTTAATACTGCCTAAGTTAAATAACATATGTGAAAATACAGTATCTGGTTACACATGAAAATGGAATACCTGGCTGTATTAAATTGTTTCAGTGGAAAAATCAGGTAGATAGCTTTGGGGATATCATAATAATCAAATAGGGAGTAGTTACATTTCACTTTTAAATGTCTGCCATCTTTGAGTACTTTCACCTTTAAACATTTCACTTGAAGTGGGAACATAAGAAGGAACTATTTCTAGGAAGTAAATACTCATTTTAAAGGATCCTTGAAAATCAACTACTTTTTTTTTTTTTTTAAATAAGGGTTTTACCAGTTTCAGTCTAGTATATGTTTGGTTTTCATGTAGATTTGTGTTAATTACTATTGTCATATATTCCAAAAGAAACATCACTCTTAGTAGAGCTTGGTTTATAAAATATGTTTGCTTTTAATCATTGTCTCAAAACATTTCAATACAAAGAAAAACATGTAAAATACAGCATTTTTTCTTAATTCTATGTTTTAAATATGCTAGAATTCACTACAGCACTGAGTCACTTTAAAAATAGTATTGTAATAAAATACCTAACTTACTGAATAACCATTAAATTGAAGATTCCAAATACTTTCTTAGTGGGAAATGCTCAGCTTAATACTATAAAATGCACTGAAAATAAACTGAAATTTGGTGTAGACAATATTTCACTATTAATATTTGATGTTACTGGTAAATGTTGTTCAGTCGATTCCAACTCAGAGTAACCCTATGTACAACAGCATGAAACAATGCCAGATCCTGCGCCAGCCTCACAATTGCTGCTACACTTGAGCCCATTACCGCTGTCACTGTGCCAGTCCATTCATTGGGGGACTTTCTCTTTTTTGCTGACTCTCCACTTTATCAAGCATGGTGTCCTTCTCCAGGGACTGGTCCCTCCTGATAATATATCTTAAGTATGAGACACCCTCGGAAACCCTATACAGGGTCGTTATGGGTCTGAACCGACTCAATGGCACATAACAACAACAACATGAGAGACAAAGTCTGGCCATCTCAGTGTCTAAGAAGCATCTGGTTGTACTTCCTCCAACAGAGATTTGTTTGTTTTGGCAGTCCATGGCACCTTTAATATTCTTTTCCAAGATCATAACTCAAATGCATCAATTCTTTTATGGTCTTCCTTATTCATTGTCCAAATTTCGCATTCATATGAGGCTGTTGAAATACCATGGCTTGCATCAGACACACCTTAGTCCTTAAACTGTTGGCACTTGAACACTTTAAAGATTTCTAGTACAGAAGATTTGCTAACTCAGTAGACATTTGATTTCTTGACTGCTGTTTCCATGAATATCGATGGTACATCTAAGCAAAATGAAGTCTTTGACAACTTAAGCATTTTCTCCATTTATCACAATGTTATCATCGGTCCAGTGGTGAGGACTTTTGTTTCCTTTACATTGAGGTGCAGCCCATACCAAAGGCTGTGGTTTTTAATCTTCATCAGTATTTTAAGTCCTCTTCACTTTCAGCAAGCAAGGTTGTTTCATCTGCATATTGCAGGTATTCAATCCTGATGCCACACTCTTCATATAATTCAGCTTCTTGGATTATTTCCTTAGCATGTGATTTGAGTAAGTATGGTGAAAGAATACAACCTTGGCACACATCTTTCCTGATTTCCTTCTTGTGAATCTGTCTTAGTCTGGAAGCGCAGCTGAAACCTGTCCACCATAGGTGACCCTGTCAGCATTTAGAACAACAGTTCATAGTTACCAGCATTACACCAACACACAAGCCACCACAATGCAAGAAACTGACAGCTGAGTGGCGGCCGGTTCTGTCTGTTGTTAAGTGCCATTGAGTCAGTTTGACTATAATGACCCTGTATAGTGTTTCCATGCTGGGGCTGGTGAGTTTTAATCACTGACCTTGCAGTTCTGTTCTTATCTGACAGCCCAATACCAGGACTCTAAAACCAAAATAGGGCTTATATGTGTAAGTACTTCTGTCAAGATGCGTTTCGTACATGTTGTTCCCAGGTGCTTTGAGTTTTTCTTCTCTATTGTAATTGATCAGAACAGCAGTCCTTTCCCCCCAAGTCATCACACAGTGTCACCCTTCTCCTAGGGTGATTACTTCTTGCGGATCCCCACACCAACACTCTGCATCTGCCTCTGCACCTGACTGTGCATAGGTACCACTCACAGGACATCTAGGGAAAATAGGGATTATGATTTTGTTGGATTAGTCTGTCTTTATAACACATTTCCAGGGGTTGCTGATCACAATTTTTTTAGTTGTATAGATGGCATACAATAGATTTCACCCTTACTCATGTACAGTTTTATGAGTTCTTCACAAGCACATGAAGTTGTATAACCACTGTCAAGCCAGTACAGTTTCATCACTCAGAATGCCTCGTTCCCTTTTAGAGTAAGCCCTTTCCTCACTCCATATCCACTGATATGTTTCCTGTTACCATATTTTTGTCTTTTCAAGAGGGTCATATAAATGAAATGTAATAGGTATTCTTTTGAGCCTGTCGTATTTTGCTTATTTAGCATAATTCATATGGAATATATCCAGATTGTTGTACTTGTCAATAGTTTGTTCCTTATAATTGCTGAGTAGTTTACCGTGGTGTGGACACATCATAGTTTGTTTATTCAATCCCCAGTTGAAGGATGTTAGTGTTATTTTTTTGAGATTATAAGTAAGTTTTTAATTTGAACATTTTAGAACCTTAAAAGAAATTTAATTCTCTTTTTTCATTGTTGTTTTAGGTGACATCACTCAAAAAGGATATGAAAAGAAAAGGGCAAAGCTGCTAGCTCGTTATATACCACTTATTCAAGGTAAGGCGATTCTCAAACTGTTCCTAACATTTATGTTATTTTACAAAATTGGTTAAAATTTGACATTAGAGCCTAACAAGTAGTATATGATTAAAATTTTATGAGAAAGGTTTGGACAGCTTCCAGAGCAAGGTGGCAGACTAGGCAGACCAGACTACATACTACTGAGTAGTCCCTGTACAGCAAAGACATGGTAAACTAAGTGAAACGGATACTGATGATGATCCTGGGACTCTACGTTTCAGAGGATAGGACAGGGAAGTGGATTCAGTGTCAACTGGAAGAGGAAGTGGAACCGGAGCAGCGAGAGATAAAACAAAGACTGGCCTGGAGCACCGCAGTCATCTTACACTTTTGTGGGAGGTTGTCCATACAGCAGCTTGTAGGCACAGGACACATCTGGTGACAAGGGGTTTACTGTTCTACCTTGTTCTCATGTCATCCTGGTAGCCTGGGATGTGGCTAGTTCCCACCCTTGACAACCCAGCAGTAAGTTGCAAACCTTCTGCAAAGTTCTCTGCTCTACCTGAGATCAGGCACCTGACAAACCACCCCTGCTTCTGGAGGCATGTGAACCCTCCCTGAACTACACTACAGAGTGAACAGAATACTGTGTTCATTACTTCAAGTCTCTAACACATCCACCAGAAGACCAGGTGGTTAGTGCCTGAGAACACCAACCGACAATCGTCAGTTAGATACAAATATGACACTACAGTGTCTCCTAGAACACAGACAATTTCAGTTTACAAGAAGAAATAACATAGAGTACCTAAAACAAGTGACCAAATACAGAGTCAGAAAATATAGTATCAGAAATGGTATTGGACCTACTTAATAAGGAATTGAAAAGAATGCTATTTAGACACCATCAACAAATTGAGATATTGATGTTGTTATTATTAAGTGCCATCGAGTCAGTTCCGAACTCATAGTGGCCCTGCATAGGTTTTCCCAGGAGCAGCTGGTGGGTTTGAACCCTTGGCCTTGCAGTTTGAACCCTTGGCCTTGCGATCCAGTGCTTATCCTATAATATCACACAATAATTAATAAAAATGTAGAAATCAAAGAAAAAAAACAGACAAAACTTCAGAAGAATTCAGATAAAAAAATGGACAAAATAAAATAAATGGAAATTGGAAACCACACAAAAACAGCAATTAGAAGCCAGACAATTAATACTGCTGCTGCTGTTGTGTGCTATCGAATTTTGACCCTGTACAGGGTCCCTATGAGTCGGAACGAACTCCACAGTACATAACAGCAACAACATAGGGTATGTGAACTCCTGGTGAGGTGCTATAGAATAAGCACTGGACTGCCAACCACAAGGTAGTTTCGAACTGCTGACCTTGAGGTTCGCAGACTGATTCGTAACCACTACGTTTAGGGGAAGATTAATACTGAAGACTCCAGAAATAAGTAATACATTTAAAGGACAAAAATGTATAATTGAATCAATGTAAGGCTGAATTACTGAGCTTGAAGACAAATCTTTCAATTTTTATCTGCTTGAAGAGCAATCAGAAAAAAATAATTTAAAAATCCAAAGCAAGCCTGAGATTTATGTGAAGCACTATCAAGAGGAATAACTTACATTTGATTGGAATTCCAGAACAGGAAGAGATGAAAAACAAACCCAAAAACAATAGAGAAAATTACCTAAGAAGAGTTGGAAGAAAACTTCCTTCACATCATGAAAGATGAGAGAAGTTGAATGAACTCCAAACAGGATAGACCCCAAAAGAAAATCACTAAGGCATATTATAATCAAACTTTACAAAACTAAAGACAAGGGAAAAATCCTGAGAGCAACTTGGGAAAAGTGAGATGTTAACTACAGACAAAAACTAATGTGACTAAGCTTCAACTTCTCAGCAGTAACCATGCAGGCAAGAAGATAATGGGATGACATATGTAAAACTCTGAAAGAAAAACTATTGCCAATTAAGAATCATATATCCAGCAAAATTGCTCATCAAATATGACAGTAAAATTAGTCCATTTTCGGATAAACATAAATTAATTTATAAAAACCAGACCAACTGTACAAAAAATACTAAAGGAAGTTCTTTGGACAGAGAACTAACAGCAGCCCGTGACCTGCAGAGGGTTGTCCGAGGAACTAGAGATACCAGTTGCAACAAAAAGCGCATGAAGTAAAAAGGAATAATGTGGTTACGGAATGTCTAAATGAAGAGGAAATCAAGATAAAAACAAAAAACAAAAACATACTGTAACCCTAAAATGAAACAAAGTCTTACTCCTAGCCCAGCCTAACTCCTACCCTTAACACTAAGCCTAGCCATAGTACTAACCCTAAGTCTCTACTCCTATCCCTCTACACCCCCCAAAAAAGTAATAAATTAAAAAAAGTTTTTTCTAGTTACTCTATTACTGGTAAAGATGTGGAGCAACTGTTAGTTTTTGTGTGTGTGTGTTTTAATGAAGAATTGGGCAGTAATGTGTCTGATAAGTTTCAAATATATAGATTGTATTTTATAGCTCTGACATGATATAGATCTTTTTCCCAGAGCATCTGTTCTATTTTTATGGTATAGAACAACCTGGTACATTTCCTTATCAAAGCTAGAATAAATAAAGATACCGCTGCTTCTCTACTCTAGATTGGTGTATAGATTCTGTACATGGATCATTTCAAAATTCTGTATTTTTGTTGTTGTTGTTAAGCTTAGCAAGTTCATTTAAAATTTCATATCCAAGTATCAAGGGTTAAGGAGTCTAAAATATTCTCAAAAAAGAAGAGCATGATGGGAGGGTTTGCTCTACCAGGACAAGAAGACTTATTTAAAGCTATAATCATTAAGAGCATAATTTTGGCAGAGGGACAGACTAGTAAACCAACAGAGTTAGAAGCAGAAACAGACACATGTAGACAGACGTGTGGTGACATCGTGGGGTGGAGATGACATGCTGGACTATGGTCTGGTGAAGCTCATATAAAGCCCATGATATTGGACACAAAAATCAATTCCAGTTCTGTTAAAGGTCTGTGTGAAATGGAAAGCTGTAGAGCCTTTACAAGATCACATTGGAAAATTATCCTGATCTTGGTACAAAAAAATGAGTGCATTTAAGTACTTCTTTTTATCAAAAGTCACCGTAGAGAGATTGAAAAGATAAAATAGCACTGTCCAATAGAATTTTCTGCAGTAATGGAAATGTTTGAAGTCTTCATTTTCCTGTATGTCAGCCATTAGCCACATGAAGCTACTGAGCACTTGGAATATAAGTAGAGTGACTGAGGGTCTGAATTTTTAATTCTAATTAATTGAAATTTCAATAGTCAAAGTATCCCCCAATGTGATATTTTTTTAAAGTAGAAAAATGGGCAAAGCCTTGAATAATTGTTTAATAGGAGGAAGTCCTAATAATATCCAACAAGCAAATGAAAAGACACTTAGTCCCAGTAGTAATTACAGAAATGCAAATTAAGACCTCCCCATCAAAAACAGCCTCCCCATCACAAACTAGTGTTATCTAGTGTCTTAGGCTTTGTTTTCTAGTGGCCCTGTGCACAACAGAATGTAACACTGCTCGGTCCTGTGCCATCCTTACAATTTTTGTTATGTTTGAGCTTATGATTGCAGCCACTGTGTCAGTTCATCTCACTGAGAGTCTTCCTTTTTTTCATTTACCCTCTATGTTACCAAGCATGATGCCCTTTTACAGGGACTGGTCCCTCCTAATAACATGTCCAGAGTTCATGAGAGCTTTATTTCAAGGGAATGATTCACACTGTTGTAGAAACTGGCATGTCCCAGGACTGTGGATCAGATGGCAGACTTGAGGCTGCTCCTGACTTAGTTAGCTGTAGGTGCTGATACGTTTTGACAGGTCAAACGCAGACTGTTCACTCACAGGCTAGAAAGGTTATTGAATCCCGAGGTCAGCAGGTAATACAGCACCTGGCTGCTGACTTAAATCCCAAGAGCCAGAGGTCAGATGATGACAACCAGATGCAGAATGAGAATGGCAAAAAACTAGAGAGCTTTGACAGGATGTCCGTATATATCTCATGCAGATCACACCCCTGCGGAGACTCACTTCACATCATATCAAGGCTGTGACTGGATTAAGGGTATTACATCCCACCCTAATTCTTTTTGTCAGATCAGAGTTGATCACATCAGACTGCTGCATGGAGGGATGATTGCATCATTACATAACTACCAAATCAGAGAATCATGCCCCAACAAAGCTGACACAATAGCCTTAAAGATAAAAAGGTATATATATCTGACCAGCCGGTCTCCTTCAGTTTCTACATATTTGCCCTGGAGAGACACTTGCACATTTGTACTTGTAGTTGCTCTGTCCAAAAACCACCACTCATCTGTCAGTTTGTTGTACTGTGCTGACTAGTGTCTTGTTGTGATTCTGGAAATTATGTCACGGGTGTTTTAAATACCAGCAGGGTCACCCATGGTGGACAGGTTTCAGATGAGCTTCCAGACAAAAACAGACTAGGAAGAAGAAGACATACACTACTTCCGAATATTTAGTCACTGAAAACCTTACAGATAGCCAGATTATTGAATATTGAAACATGATGAAGAGCACCAGAATATTGGCAGATACAGGGCTGGAGGATGAGCCCCTCAGGTTGGAAGGCACTCAAAATATGACTGGGGAAGAGAGGTGCCCACTAAAACTAGAGTTGACTGTGATGACCTGAATGGAGTAAAGCCCTCAGGATCTTCATTTGCTGATGGGTCACAACTCAAAATGAAGACAAACAGCTGTAAACATCCATTAATAATCAGAACATGGAAAGTAATAAGTATGAATCTAGAAAAATTGGAAATTGTCAAAAATGAAATGGAATGCATAAACATTGATATCCTAGGCATTAGTAATCTGAAATGGAGTAGTAGTAATGACCAATTTGAATCTGACAATCACATGGTTTACTATGCTGAGAATGACAAATTGAACAGGAATTATGTAGCATTCATCATCAAAAAGAATATATCAAG